CGTGGCGCAACCCCGAACGGTAGAAATGGCAGACCCCGAACACTTAAACAGATGATGTGGCGTGCAAAACCTAAACCCTAAAAGAAAACAACTTTGGTTGGCAAACTCCAAACCCCAAAAGGCGATCGTGGCGCAACCCCGAACCGAAAAAAAGGCACACCCCACACACTTACAAAGAAACGTCGCTTGGTTAACCCCAGACAAGACTGCGGGTGAAAAGATCCAAGACTCAAAATAACATGGTGGCAGCGAAACCTAAACCCTCTAAGGGAACAGTTTTGGTTGGCAAACTCCAAACCTCAAAAGACGATCGTGGCGCAACCCCGAACGGTAGAAAAGGCAGACCCCAAACAGTTAAAAAGAAATATCGCTTGACAATCCCCAGGCAAGACGGCGGGATAAAAAAGATCCAAGCCGCGGCGTGCAAGACCTAAACCCTAATAGAGAACAGCTTTGGTTGGCAAACTCCAAACCCCAAAAGGCGATCGTGGCGCAACCCCGAACCGTAAAAAAGGCAGACCCCAAGCACTTAAACAGATGATGTGGCGTGCAAAACCTAAACCCTAAAAGAAAACAGATTTGGATGGCAAACTCAAAAGCCCAAAAGGCGAACGTGGCGCAACCTAGAAAAAAACAGTTTTGGTTGGCAAACTCCAAACCCCAGAAGGCGATCGTGGCGCAACCCCGAACCGTAAAAAGGCAGACCCCAAACACTTAAAACGAAATGTCGCTTGGCAAACCCCAGGCAAGAGTGCGGGTGAAAAGATCCAAGTCGCGGCGTGCAAGACCTAAACCCTATAAGGAAACAGTTTTGGTTGGCAAACTCCAAACCCCAAAAGGCGATCGTGGCACAACCCCGAATCTTCTTTTAGGCGTTGGGGTTTGCCAAGCAACATCTTGGTTTCGGATTTGCCAACCAATAACTTTCTCTTTTAGGGTTTGGGGTTTGAACTTCCGCTTGGGGTTTGACAATGCTTTCAGAGTGAGAGCTTGCCAACCAAAACTGTTTTCTTCTAGGGTTTAGGTCTTGCACGCCACATCATCTGTTTAAGTGTTTGGGGTCTGCCACACCCCAGACAAGATCGTGGATGGCAAACCCCAAATCCCACCTGCAAACCTAACACTCTAAAGGAACGTATTGATTAGCAAGCCCTGATACCTAACATTGGCAAACTCCAAACGATTTTGGGGGACACACCAACCAAAACTAACCTTTCACAAAGACTATCTTATTGGCTTGCAACTCGAAACCTTAAAAGGCTATTGTTGTTTGACATACCTCAAACCCCACAAGAAGATGCTGCTTAGCGGCTTAGCAAAACCCAACACAAGATCGTGGGTGGCAAACCCCACAACTACTGTAATCGACAAAAACCACCGCTGGTTGCAAAGCAGAGATGTTACAAAAAATACTGCTGCAATGCTGCTTACTACAATGGAACATCCTGGGGGGAAACCCGAGACCCTCAAAAATCAGGCTTGCAAACCCCAAGCCCGAACAAAGTGGTAGGCAAACACGGACCCCTCGAAGCGGAGGCGGTTGGCAAACACTTTGACCGTAAAAAAAGATCCTTGGTGACAAACCCTTCTCCCGAAAAGGAAAACCTAGGGTTTGCAAACCCGACGAAACTTTGCAAACAAGCTGCGTGGCAAACCTCGATGACTCAAACCTTGAAACAACATGTTGCTTGGCACCGCCCAGACCCCGAAGACCTAAGTGAAAACACATTGCCTGTCTAGCACTAACCTTTCAAAGGGTGATGCTGCTTGGCACACCCAAACAGCAAAGCCTGAACCCTAAGCTCTGAAAGTAGCAGCTGGTTGGCAAACACCGAACCTTAAAACAAGATCCTAAGTAACACAACCCAAACCCTAACAAAAAAACAATTGTGTTGGTTTCCAAACCCGAACCATGAAAGAGATCTTGCTTAACTTCAACGACTCAAACCTCAAATGAACATGTTGCTTGGCACTCCCCGTAGCCCAAACCCAAAACAAAGCATTGGCTGGCAAACGGTAACCGTTAATAAGTGAAGCTGCTTGGCAGACCCCAAACCCTAAATTCATCTTTTGGTTCGCAAACCCTTAACCGTGCAAGCAGTGGTTAGTTGGCAACATGAAGTATAGAAGATGATCCTGGGTGGCAAACCTTGAAACCCCAAACAAGTACTAATGACTCAAACGAACATGTCGCGTGGAACACCCCGTAGCCCAAACCGGAAAAATGTACACGCACATCGGCTGGCAAAGGTTCACCTTTAAAAGGTGAAGCTGCTTGGCAAACCCCAAACCCTAAGAAAACACTTTTTGGGTTGGCAAACCCTAATCTGGTTGGCACACGACAAACACAGAGGATGATCCTGCGTGGCAAACCTTAAAGCCTAAAAAAGTGTTGGTTAACAAACCTGAAACCGATCTTGCCCTCAATGACTCAAACCTCAGATGATCGTGTCACTTGGCACACTCCGTACCTCAAACCCGAAAAAACAACACATCGGCTGGCAAATGTTGGCCTTCAAAAGATGAAGCTACTTGGCAAACCCCAAACCGTTTCTTTAAAAAACCACAGTTTTTGTTTGGCAAACCCTTAACTTTGAAAACAGCGGTTTGTTGGCAGACCCCAAGTACACGAGATGATCCTGGCTGTTGGATTGCAAACCTGAAATCTTGAACGAGATCTTGCTTAACCTCAATGACTCACATGAACATGTCGCTTGGCACAACCCGGGTCGACCCTTAAACAATGGTCGCGGGCAAACCCTAAGCCCTAAAATCTAACATACTGGCCTGGCACACCCTAAACTTGAAGAGGAGATGCTCCAACCCCCCAAGAAAATCATAGCTGGCAAAGCCCAAACTCTAAAAAACGTGTTGGCTAGCACACCCAAATCATCAAACCAGATGTGGTTTGGCAAACCTCACACCCGAAAAGAAGATCGTGGGTGGCACACCAAAACCTAACGGCTAAACAGGGTTAGCAAGCCTGAAACTAATCCCTAAAGACTATGTCTATGTTGCTTGGCAAAGCCTCAAACCCTTAACACGGACATGGGTGGCCGACCCCAAACCTGAAAAGGACATGTCGCCGGCAAACTCCACATTACAAAACCCTCAATCAAGATCCCGGGTGGAAAGCCCCAAACCGTAAAGAAAAAAAGTTGGCAAACGAGACCTTACAAGGAGAGGTTGCTTGGCAAACCCCAAACCCTAAAAGACCCTGCCGGTTAGTTTCGTGTATTTCCTGTACTGGAGAGTCACCTTTATTGCTAAGGTTTTCGGCTAGTACGGTTCTGATGTTTCGTGTGTGATGATCACGATGACTTAAATAATGCAAGACTGCTGCAGCTGCTGTGTGCTGCCCTCCGTTTTGCTACTGCTGCGATTGTTCGTACGATGGTGCGTGCGTGGTTGAAGTTTTGACCTATCGGCGATATTCGGAGGGCCAAGTGCATGGAGCCGAAGCACGATCTGCCTCCATTCAAGAGTTCCAGAGGCACTGCAAAACTCCTGCAAAAACTGTAGAGTGGCACTGTCGCAGTCCAGAAGTAGACGCAGCAGGCATGCCGTACCCTATGAGGCTTCAGACTTGCAGGCTTAGGATTTGTGCTGAAGTGCTCTGCAGCTTCGGGGAAGAAGTGATGTGTTTATTGATGAAGAACATCATAAAAGCCCCCGATCCCCCAGCCCTTCACTCACCACCCGAGCAGACAACATCACCGACAAGGGCAAAGAGGTAAAACAACGCAAGCAGTGCAAGGCGCAAGCTAACAAAAAACTTTTTCACGATGTGGCAACCTATTACCAAAACTGACGTCAGCTTTGGTGCAAGAAGCACGGAGAGCAGAAACCAAACGTAATCGTCTGCTACGCGGAGTAGAACATGTTAATATGCAACAATGCGACAACCCGTACAGACCAGTGCTTTCGATGCCATGGAGTGGCTGTGGTGCGCGACCCGGGGATGCAAGGCACGTGAACAACAGCAAAAAACACCCCAGCAAGTGAACCCGTTAGGCTAAAAGATGATCGTATGGCACACTCCAAACCCTAAAACGAAAACATTGGCTTGCAAACTCTAAGCCATAAGGCAAGGTCGCGGGTGGCAAACCCCAAGCCCTGCAGGTGGCAACCCCCAAACCCCAAAGGCAACCCTGGCTTGCAAACCCTAAACCCTAAAGACCGCGGGCGACAAACTCTAACAGAAGTTCCTGGTTGGAAGACTCCAGGCGCAAACCCTGGATCTGGTAGGCAAAGCCCAGACCCTGACAGAAGGTCGTGGATAGCAAACCCTAAACCCTCACGTAAGACCGCGGCTTGCAAACACCAAACCTAGCCCAAACGACAAGACGAGAAAATGCTGGTTGGCAAACCCCAAACCTGAGCAGGACATGACGGGTGGCAAACCCCATTGCAGCTCTGCAGCGCTCTGCGCAAACACAGACACCGGCGAAAGAAGCTGCAGCAGCAGCGGCAGCAGCAGTAGCAGCAGTGATAATAAGTTGTTTTGCCATTCTCCGAATCGATCCTCGACGTTTTCTGGATGTGCTTGCTTTTGTTTTCCTGAATTGGGGCACCGTTGTCAGAAGACCCTCTACCCTCAGGCTCCGACACACCGGCCATCTGCGGCGGCTGTGGGACCGACCTGCCAGCAACGGCAGGCACTTGTACAGCCAGGATCAGCCCTGCTACAGCAAAAGCAGCCTGAGGAAGCTCTCCATCCAGCCGGCATCCGGCAGAGTCACCAGAAGCCCTGACATGCTCACAGGGCACAACAGCTGTTACAAGACCAGACACTGGGGCACCTCTGACAGTCACGTCGGGGTCAAGAGCATTGGCACTGAGAGCTCCCTCGATCTGCAGCCCGGACACATCCTCACAGTTGAGCGCTTGCCGAATCTGTGCAAGAACCTGTCTGGAAGGCTTCAATGTCGGTCTGGAGCATGCCAATCCAGTCCTCGATGACTTCGAGTCCGCCCATGCGTTGAGATTCTGTCACTGCCTGAAGCATGGCACGAAGCTGTCGCCGGTCAGCGAACTCACAACAGCTGGACCCGAAAGCCTCAACATGGCACCAGCATGGAAAACTTGCACTAGTGGGCATCAGTCTCTCTGATTTGCGTGGCATGACATTGGCGCTTGCGACTCCTGGGCCAGTGGCAGGAAAGTCATGTGGTAACAAGCGACGAGGTGCATCATCCAAAGGGATCACCTGACACTGCCAGGCTTTTGATAGCAATCCTAGCAAACGCGACATGAACGGATCAACCATGCGGGCAGCATCAAGCTAGTTAGTTGCATGGATTGGAAGGGGCTCTTCAGGCATCTCGGTTTGCACAAGCTCCACCACCTGAACATCACACTCCAGCAAGGGCGGCTGCTTCGCCTCACGGTAACAGTCTTGGCACGTCCGCTTTGATGGGCTTCTCAGTGAACATCGTGCCTTGAATGTTGCCGCAAAAAGGCGGCTTAACTCTGCCTCTGCGGCAGCAGTGCTCTTCCCTGGCCGGATCCAGATGAAGCACTGGACATTCCGCGCTTCTACGAACGATCTGGCAGGCCTGGAACGTTCTTCGCCAAGTGCTCGCGAAGCTTCCCCGGTCGCAGCTCGGCCTTCAAGGGGCTGCGCGACTCGGTGGCCAAGTCGAAGCCTCGAGACTTTTGAAGGATGCATCTGAGGTCATCTGAGGTCCGGTCTGCACAGACACGGAAACCATGCCGAGGAGCGGAGCAACGCCCAGGCCAGTACGCACTCAGGAGGCGGATCCGCATAGAGTGGCGCCGGATAGGTTCCACCGGAAAGGGGCCAGGCAGACTCTGCTCTCCCCCCGGGCGAAGGTCCCAAAGGTTTGAAGGGCTGGTCTGTCTGAGTTTGTGATTGCTCGGGGTTCGCAGTGGAGGAACCGTATCCTGACTTGGCTTTGGCCCTCGCCTGGGCCTTGGGCTGCGGCTTTGCCTTTGCGACTGGTACTGCGAGCTTCCAGATCCTGGCAGCATGTTAAGGCTGCAAACATGCGCTCCAGCATGATCACTGGATAAAAGTCGTCCTGCTTGCTGGGACTGTCGATCCAACTGCTGGCTTCTTGGGAGCATCCTTCTGCCCAACTCGATAGGCTCTCTACCCGTGCCCACATGAATCGATGTGACGGCAGAGCAAGCATTGTCTCTTCATGAAGTGCAAATGCCGCTTTCCTCGAAGGCCAACACTTCAGCCAGAACTTGCACTTCTTTGCCTGGAACATGCAGTGCGTGCTTTGCTTCCGAGCTCTCAGAATTACTCGGGACCCAACTGGCGACGGCAGATCTGAAAAAGAAAAGAGACGGTGGCTCTGCCTCAACAGAAGAAGTGAGCTAAGAGAAGAAATGTGGCTAGCCTCACACCCGACACAGGCTCAGAAGCCGGCGATAGCATGAACCTGGGCCAAACAAGTATTTCCTTTTTTGGCACAGTACTACGATTACATGCACGGGGTGCCGGCCACGACCATGCCCTCACTGGCGTTGCTTGCCAAACGGCTCTGGACCTCTGGTCCCATGCTGCGGTGTCTTGAAATGGCTGTTCAAACGAAAGCACATCTCAGAGCATCGCCCGCTGAACCCGCAGCCGAGAACACGAGAAGCTATAGCCGTAGAGTTCCGGCCTGTCAGCACACAGAACAGTTGCAGCGGTTTGGCTTCATAGATGAAGCTCGCCTCCCGCCCAGAGGGGTGTACAGAAGTGAGAGCCGGATCTGCAATGACAGCGCCTGCCAGGCAGACATCGTGATGGGAAGTGCTTTGGTAAGTCTGCCCGACCTGCGGCATCTCTTCCTCCGCAGCACGTGCCAAGCGGGCGAGTGCCGCCCTGAGGCCAGTGTACGTACTCAGACTCTACAGGTCCCTAGGCGTGCGCCGAACGCACTGCATGGGGCAGGAACTTCTGCAAAGTACCGTTGGCAGCGATTGGGACCTCCATGACTCAAGCGATCGAAGGCATTGGGACCGGCCTCCCGCCCGGGCCTCAATCTCCCCCACGGCAGTCATTCGCAGGACCTGAGATGCTTTGAGATGCGGATGGAGGGGTCGGCACTGCGGCCAGGACACATAGAGTCTGGACTCTTCGTGGCCCATGGCTCCATGAGCCGGTGGTGTTGGACCCAAGCAACGGCGATCCTGCTTCAAAGAAAGCCAACTCTGCCATGCTTCCTCGAGGTCCACCGGTCGAATTTCGGGTGGCCGCCGAGGAAGCACTTGGGCTTGCCGGCTAGGTGGCGCGAGTGTGCTCAGTGGAGGAGCTGCCGGTGCTGGTAAAGGCGCAACCTGAGCTTGGCTGGGGTCTTGCGCTTGCCCTGGCCGTGGGGGCGGCTGCACTTGGAGTTGGGATGGTTGCGTGGTGGGCGGCGGCAGGCGCTCGGGGGCAGGCCGGGTCACCACTGGCGGCAAGCTGGGCGTCGCAGCTGGAGCTGCAGCACTGGGGCCAGGTACTGGGGCGGGTGCAGGAATTGTTGGGACCGATGTGGGGACTGGAGCAGGGGCAGGAGCGGCAGGAGCTGCAGGGGCTGCAGGGGCTGCAGGTGCGTGCTGAGAGCCAGGTGGCAAAGTGGAGATGGATGCTGGTGCCGGGGCTGGAAGTGTGGGTGGAGCAGGTCCCGCTGCTTTGGACTCAGGTGCAGATACTTGCGCGTCGCCAGGAGGTGGGGGCACCGAAGGAAGTGGTGGTGGACTAGGTGCTTTTGGAGCCTTCGAGCCGAAGAAGGATCCGAACCAAGAGGAGGCTTTCTGCACAGCTTTCGCTGGAGGAGCTGGAGGGGGCTGTGGTGAGTGGTCCGTACCGTCTGGAGGGGTGGTTGGTGGTGGTTTTGGCGGCTCTTTTGGAGCTCCAACCACCTCAAACACAGCGGTTGGAGCTGGGGCTTGATTTTTCGGAATTGTGGGTGCATTCGGTCCAGGTGGTGGAGGAGCTGCTGGCGGAGGCAGCGGCGGATCGTCCGGTGCTAAAGGCGGCGCTGGGGGGGCGGGGGGAGCTGCGGGTGTTGACTTGCCAAAGAGTTTGCCAAACATCGCAGAAAGCCTGCATTGCGTCTCATTTAATGTAGCCTAAACCGACTCAAGCAAGCCATGGTGTGCTTCAACAAGCTGTTATTGCTGCCGCCACTGTTCTTGTCGACGCTGTTCACAAACTTGTTGTGTGGTTAACCAGATCTTGCGACGTGTCAGAAGGAGTGCTAAATACCTCCATGAGCCAGCACAGCATAGCACGGCATAGCACAGCCATGTTGACATCCGAAAGTTCCAACATGGCACTCTGGGACTTCGAAACTCGGCCTGCGAGCGCAGTGCCTGCTCAGCTCGATCTATGGCATTCTGCCTCAGGCTCAGGACGAGGACGGCTGCAGACGTCTTCAAACCTCAGGCGGTCACTGAGCACCTGACAAAAGTTCATGCTCTCTGCTCTGACCTCTGCCTGCCGCGACAAGACACTGCTCAACAGTGTGGCTGGTTTGGAGCTGCGAAAACACACCTAGCATTTTACCAGCGAACTTGTTGCATTAGACAAAGACGTCGGAGCCACCATCCAGGGATGTTTGAATCTCCTGGAGATTTCGGTGGAGGCTCAACATGATGTTGCCGACGGCCTGGTTTGGGATCAACATGCAATTCGGCAATGAAGCTATTGCTGTGGTTTTGCCTCCATCGCGGCGCAGGCCAGCCTGACATGAAAGGCAACAAAAGAGCTCCTGCATTGCTTTTTCGAAGATTGCACCATTCGAGCCTGGCAGCCAGGCATGAAGCAAGCGCGGCTCAATTGCGAGCAGACCATGCAAACCACGGAAATGACGGAACTCTGTCTTTGCTGTTCGTTGAAGCATGTTGAAGTTGCTTATGTCAGCGATTTGCCAATTTTTTTTGCCCATCTCTTCTGTCACAATGTTCTGCCTGGGCCAGTGGACGGCGATTGCGGAGGATATAAGCAGAATCTCGCGGGAAAGTCCGCACGGTTGGAAATTTTGACGTTAACTTCAATGACAGATGACTTGGACGATGTTCCGAATGTGGTGAGGAAGAGCAACAGAACGAAAAACTGCATCAGATGGTCGCTTGCCGAGTACAGTTGGGGCCACCTGCGTACATTGCAAGAGTAGGCCAAACCTTGAAGAAACCGTTCGTTCGGTTTAGGCTTCCGTTTCCTA